TCGCGGGTTCGATCCCTGGCGGGGTCGTGGGTGCGCACTGCTAGGGAGTCCCATACTAGGACGAAACAGCTGTCCAGTGCTCCCAGGTTTCCTTTGTTCCTCCAGCCGATGTCAGTCTACGATGAATAACAGCTTGAAATATAATCAAAACATTCAGAACTTACCTTCTTGTCATTACACCACCTATTGACCGGCCTTCACTAGCCTCAGAGCAAAAAAACTTCACGTAGGCTCTTCGGTCACCTTGAAAGTGTGAATCTCGCACAACGTAGTGTGTGTACATGTGCTTCTCATACTTCTTTAGGGCGATCTACAAAGACTCCAAGGACGGCAACACGACGAGACAAAAACGATCCATAAAGATTGATTCGTTTTCGGTTACAACACTTTGGACGGTGTCGTCGCTCATCATGAAAATGAAGCAACCCTTCCTCAGTTTGCTCCGTTTTATGATACTTTTCGATTTCGTGCAACCAATCACATGGGATGTTTCTTCGTTCATTTTGATTGGACAACAAGTGACACAGGGAGTGAAGGGGAGGGAGTAGAATTTTCTACTCCAGGTTAAGAAATTATTACCGTTGACCAAATATATTTCCACTAGTGGCTCATTTTATCCTCCGATACCTTTCTTCTGTGTTGCCATTATATTGATAAACATTTGTTTTTTTGTTAGTAGTTTTACACCCTTTTTTATTGATACCACTAACTAGTAATTTGAACCGTAATTTAGTACTTCACATTCGTTATTCCCTGTTTCATATGATTTTCATCCCACCCGAATAAAACTCGTCACTACATATTTATTTGACCCTTAGTAAACAAACGCACATAAATCGACAACCCAGTAAGTGTATATAGTGAATCATCATCTGTAGATTTTGTCTCCTCATTTCGTAATTGTTCAGTCAATATCGATTTCATTGTACAACCAACACACTAGGCTGATAACAATTCCTCCATTCCATTCGATTTGATCTCCATTCACCACACATAACACTGTTTCAATATCTAGCAAAAATTGTACATTATGCCTTTCTTTGGCTATTGTATTACGCTTATTCTCATTAGATTTGTAACTGTAGAGCCTGAAGACGTTTCTTATGACAGTTGTTCTTTTAAATTATTCCTCTTCTGAAAACCGACAAAATCTTATACGAATTGACATTGAAGGTAGGAAAGATTTAGGTTGACCGACACTGATATAGTTGTTAAAATTAGCCAGCGGTAAACTATTTATACAGTGATGGAGTGAACATTCAAGAGAAGATAGGAGGAGAAAAATGTGTACATTTATACATATAAATTGGAGGGGTTGTGTTATACTAGCAGTAGTAAAAAGGACATCACGGTTATGCAAATATAGTAAAAGGTTAACATGTTTTCATTCAATCTAGAAATAAGATGAATAAAACTCAGAAGAAAGTGGGTGTAGGTTTCGGAATAGATCGAGAAAGATAAAGTGCAACAAAAGAAACTGAAATCTTGTAATCACAAATTTAGGAGATTAAAACTACCAAAGTAATGGGAGATTGACAGATTCTTAACTGTTGCCTCCAACTATCTACCAATTCACATGTACGTGGTAAAGCACATGGATAGGAGGAACAGTGATAAAGGTTCTTGTCTGTATTTCTGAACATGTCCCAAAGAATTTGAGTCTTAAGAGTCCCCAGGGTTTAAACAGTGTAATCGCATCGCATTTGCTTGATACTGGACATAAACTCGAGGCATTAAAGTCATTCAGAGTGATCAATAAACAACAGAAACTTACTCAAGCCTGATCTATGTATTCGGAAGGATGACACTGTTGTCACTCCTCTGTTAACTTGGTAGTAATTTGTGATTACAAGATTTCATGACCCTCAGTTTCTTTTGTTGTTGTTGTTAAGAATCTGTCAATCTCCCATTACTTTGGTAGTTTTAATCTCCTAAATTTGTGATTACAAGATTTCAGTTTCTTTTGTTGCACTTTATCTTTCTCGATCTATTCCGAAACCTACACCCACTTTCTTCTGAGTTTTATTCATCTTATTTCTAGATTGAATGAAAACATGTTAACCTTTTACTATATTTGCATAACCGTGATGTCCTTTTTACTACTGCTAGTATAACACAACCCCTCCAATTTATATGTATAAATGTACACATTTTTCTCCTCCTATCTTCTCTTGAATGTTCACTCCATCACTGTATAAATAGTTTACCGCTGGCTAATTTTAACAACTATATCAGTGTCGGTCAACCTAAATCTTTCCTACCTTCAATGTCAATTCGTAAAAGATGTTGTCGATTTATTTATTATTCATGATAAACATTCCGTTTTTATAGATTGTGAAGCAGCCCTGGAGAATCCACGAAATATTTGCATGCTAATTCTGCTACTCTGTTACCCTTCTTGCTTTGTTCATTTCCGTGAAAAGCAAAAATTGTATAATGATATTTTGTATTTTGGCTGAGATTTCATCAAAAGCCGAATGATTGGGGTTGATGCAACTTTCCAAGTGAGTGAACTGATGACCTCATTCATCACTGGGGTTCGTTAGGTTTACAGTCACAAAAAAACTTGTAAAGAAAGTTTTCTGCCTGGCCCTGTTGTGCCAGAAATATTTTCATGCCCATCAACAATTCCTAGGCAGTCGCTTACAACTTAACGAGTGGAATAAGCAAATTTTGGAAGTTTTACTAGAATGCATAATAATTCAGATGTGATTTTCTCTAACAGCATCATACGTTGAATATTACATGATTGTCAACTCTTAGGTAGTGACCCCGACCTTTATCCTATTGTTTAAGCACAGAATCTGGAAATAACTTCAATCACTGCCTTTACCTTGTAGAACTTACCGTAACTTAGACTAGAAAGACCTTCAGTTCTCACTGAAGTATCCAGATGGGGATAAGTGCTTTATTTATGAATCCGTATAATCTAACCAGGTCGAATAATGGCCATTGACAACTCTACAACAACTCGTACATGAAATGAGCAAGGATACATAAGTGAGGACTAATAAATGTTTTCATATTTTTAAAACAAATGATCAAATACACCAGTTACATTTCTTTATTTTAGGAAGATTATCTTCACCACCGAAATACTGAAACCTGATCGGTTATTTCAATGGTTCCCAGGGTGACCTTCACATTCATTCTTGATAAAAGCTTAATCAGTCTCTTCTTTTTGCCGTTAACTATGGTTCTAACACCAGTTAAAATATGTGATGGGATACTGGTATCCCCAAGTCTTTATATGTACTAAAATCACAAGATTTAGATTGATAGAATTGTGCTTATTACGTCCATTCACACAACGCTTGATAAAGAGATCATTATGATTGTACAGCTTACTTAGCTGTGTTGAAACTGCTGATCGATAAACCTTGGATAGCACTAAGGCCTATATAATAACAATAATAATGATCAATAGGTAATGACCAAAAATCATATGACTGAATTCAAAAAGTATGTTTAAAAACAGATGAATTAGACTATGGAGGGTTCAATGTTTACATTATACTACTGAACACTGGTTCAACTTAAAAACATAGACTACATTAATTTACATGCACAGTTGCTGTATTTATACAATGATTCAAAATCATAAAATATTGGATGACTAGTGACTCTAAAGACCATCTTAGCAACGACTGGAATAACCAATTAGATTTCTATATTTCTATTGTAAAGACAGATTTTCACTAAACAAAGAAATCTTATTGGTTGTTTCGATTGCTGTTAGAGTGGCCTTTAAAGTCATTTACGGATAACCGCTTTTCTTGGGTCAATCAATTTTCAAGAATGTAAGTTTGCAATCTCTTTCCAGACAATACATTAACTCATGTACCACTGAGTTTAATTAGGAGATAGGGTGAGAGAGTTTATCAATGCCATTCAATTTTTAATAATCACCAACTTAGTGGAATGCAAAGTTGTCATTAGTAGTCAGTTGGGAGTGCACTGATACCAACCTTCGGTTTCGCCAGTTAAATAATTGTTATATAGTCCAAGAATCCAAGCTGAAATCGGTTAAAACTGAACTGAACAAATGTGTACTTGGAGCTTCTCAACAGATGGTCACACTATTCAGATCACCTGAAACGAAATAGTTGGCTCAGACGAAGCAGTCTACGGTTTGTCTGATGAACGATTTGTGGATTTTAAAACAGCTTACATCAGCATTCATGTTACAGCTTATGAATCTCTGTTGTTGATTGCTCCAAAGTGATTGGCCACTATTGGTATATGGGCTATTGTGCGGATGCCTCGATATCGCCTGTTTCAGTTTCATACCTATGATAGATAGTAGCTAGCAGTGGAATTCGGCTTGATGTACCTTTCATCTTATTTGGGACTCATCAGCTGGATATATTTTTCTCATAGTGAGTGTTGTCCACACTAAGATTTTAACTCAGGACCCATTGCTTCAAACGACAGAGCGTCATCCACTATGCCACTGAGTATCGAAAGCCACTTCTTGTGTCATGGTTATAGCATAGTAAGAGTATAGTACTTTAGCAGACTAGTCGTTTAGTTTTTTGAGATCGTTTGACCTAGAGACTTGTGTTTTGTACACCTTAAACTGAGTCAGTTATCATCACTGTGCAATAAGATTTCATTTATTTTGGCTAACTAAACGCATTTTTACAGCATTCTTCCTACGATTAAGGTAAATAAACAGTAACGCTTCCATAATCTCTTGATTCCGAATGAAATCTGTCTATTAAACCTCGAGTAAAATCTATCCGTACACGTGAATTGGTCACCGGATAGTGGTCGATAAAGCTAGTGATTTTCAAACTCTGGTCGACATCCGTCAACCAACTTAGATAAATGGCATGACACCACCAACTTAATACATCAACCCTGATCGACTTACATCCAAGTTCCCGAGGAGAAATGAGCCAATTTAAAACTGCAGGTTTGTACCTTGCCGGTCACTATGAACAGACATAAAACAGTTCTTCTTGCCTACTGTCGCCTACTAACTTATATTTACTTACCCAGATATTTTGAAGTCAAAATAGCTCAAAACAAAAAGTTTTGGATTCCATCCACAAGTCATGGACACCAAACATTTTGGTAAGTAAATTCAGTATCAAGTTATGCGAAAATCCTAATTGGTTGACAAGTTGATCTGTTAGTAAATATGGCAACAAAATTATACTTACTAGTACTGCAGGCAATCAACCATATGAAAAGTATTACACTTCCACAGTATTCAAGATAAACGAATTAATTTACTGGGGCTGGATAGTTCAGAAGACGATATTACTTCAGGTCGGTGGATTGAGAGATACGAATTTGAAGTCAATAAGTAAATCCCCGTAGTGACACTTCGAGATGAAAGTTTCTGGAGTTCAATGGATCTCCAGTTGATGTCCGTCTGTGATGAATACCAATTGAAGGAAATCTTACTCAGGCTTATTGCGGTTCACCTCAGTGGGTTCGAGTCTAACCCCTTTCCCTTAACTCATCTATATTTCAATATCGGAAACTGGGGACGCCAACAACCTGAAATTAGTTCTGAGATTTCTCTATTCCTCAATCATTTCGACTTAAAAATAAGTAGAGGATGGTAACATATAAATATCTCTACTCTGTGGTCAATTTATGAAGAAAAAACAAGTTTAATCTACCCATTTTCATAAAATCTAAAAATTCTGGAAATTCCTAAACAAGCCTCTTTAGCATCGAAAAATTCTGAGATAGTTAAGGTAATTGATTTCCACGCGATGGGTTACAGGTCCAAACCAGGTTAATTTGTCAAGGTTACATTAACCCTCACACAATATATGTAGCTCATTGACCACTGCATAGTGTTGATGACAGGATTTCAATTCGACTTCGAGTCAAGTTACTCCTAAAAATCATCATAGGAATTGCTGAAATAACCAATTACTTTTCTCTATTTTATGAAAAACTACATTTCTGGGTAGAATATGGAAGTCTGACTGGTTATTTCAGCAGTTGCTGGATGGCCTTTAAAGTCAATCTGCTTTTGGTCTAAAGGTTACCTTAGCAAAGGCTAAAGTACCCAACTGTGTTTCATTATTTCAGCTGAAATGGTAGCTGTTTTCATGAAATGAAGAGATCTAGTTATCTCCTCACCAGTCGCTAGGATAACCTTCAAAGCCACTTCACTAGGGTAAAGCAATTTTAAAGGCCTGTCTACCAACTACTGGTATAATCAGTTACGCTTCTGTATATTTTGAAAAAGTAATCATTCCAACAGAAATTAAGAAACCTTATTGTCTATTTCAGTAGTTCCTAGAGTGAATTTCAGAGTTTTGAATTGTGTTGAAAAGGTGTTGAAATATTCTTTTACTAGTTTTCACGCGTAATTAAAACTATCTTGAAGCATATCATTTCCATCTTTAGGTTTGCAGGGATTTATTGAGTTCAGGTTGGTATTCCTCGTGGACTGACATTAGTTGGAGAAACACTGAAAACCCGGGAGCACTTGACAGATGTTTTGTCCTAGTATGGGATACCTTAGCACTACACACCAACAAACTTGGGTGACAGTCGCGATATATCGCCAAGTGAAAGAAGCTAGAAAATGTGATCCGCTGAGCTCCGTCACACTGGTTGGATGGTTAACGCTTTTGCCGTGAGTTCTGAAGATCCTGAACTCGATCCTTAGCATAGTCGTGGAAGCATACTGCCAGGGAGTCCCAAACTAGGACGAAACAGCAGTCAAGTGCTTAAGGCTTTCCCTCGTTTCCCTCTCTAAATTAAAATCCCCATTCATATATATATATATATATATATATATATATATATATATATATATATATATACATATGCAAGCATTTTGTATAAACTGATGGTAAAACTGCTTTAGGTTGTAAGCTGCTAATAAGAAATATGAAATAAAATGAATCCATGCTATTCTGCTATAGCGGTTGTTGAAATGCATTTGGTCCACGGCTAATAATTTTTTGTGTTCTGTTTTGTCCCTTCCCCCTTACTCCCTGTATCACCTGTTGTCGAATGAAAATGGACGAGGAAACATCCGACATGATTGGTTGCACGAAATCGAGAAGTACTACGAAAGAGAGCAAATTGCAGAAGGGTTGCTTTATTTCGACGATGAACGAGGATACTGCTCGAAATGTTGTAACCGGCATGGACGAAAAATCTTAGATGTCAGGATACTCATGCTGTTAAACTCAAGTTCATAACATCCTACAGCACACACATTATCAGGTGGTTCATAAGAAATGGAAGTGACGGTTACAGCTGTGAGTACGACCATGGTGGCAGACGGTAGCTGACCATTTGAAACTATTTCGAACTCACCTATAATAACAATAACTCATCGAGGAAATAACTTGAACATTGATCTAGTTGTTAGTGTGGACGATCAGACGGGGTCTATGCAGTTGATCACTTAAAACTCTGAGGAGATGCACCATGTAGACGTAAACGAAGAGAAGGATTATACCCACAGCTGTGCCTATCTCACTTTCACACTTCAGATCAAGACAAACTGTACCAGAAGTGAACTGCTACTTCACGGGAGGAAGTGAACGAACCATCAGGAATGTGATTTGAATGACTTCTTTCATTCTTTTAAATAAAGGAGAAGTGATGATCCATATTTTACTACTTCACTTTAGAATCGAATGAACGTAGTTCAGAACAGTACGCCTTTAAAAAGTGTAAAAGAGCATGATAACTACCTATCTCAGATGTTATTGACCAGTCGACGATAATATGGGTCATTGAGACGATCTGTTTACAGAAAGCCCACTTGGACAGGGCAATGTTAAAACTATTACAGTTTCTGTCAGTTCCAATGCAAACAAGGTTTACCTTGTTTGCATTGGAACTGACAGAAACAGTTAGGCGCTTTTGTAATCGAATTCAACGAATTAGCACACCCGATACGTTGGAGGAAAAGACACGAATATTGACGGAGATAATTGAGAACAACTACACAACGATGTTTATGAGTCGGCCTAAAGTGACCTAAACATTGAGAAGTACTGTTGACTATGTCCCTAAGAAAAATGCTCTCATCAAGCTAATATGCACAAGTGATGCAAACAGCTTGATAGTCAGACAAGGACTTATACCTGCCCTAAATAAAACCTGTTATGCAGCTATGGTCAGGATAATTGAAATTTCAAGTTATGCATACCCATCAAGGCCCTCGGAACAGGTGAAAGATGAAGTCACACATCATTGTATTTATTAATTTAAATGTACATGTGCTTGGTCATACATACATATGAAGGGCTCATGGGTCATTGAAAATAGGGGCCAGATAACTTAATCCCTAGTGTCTTCGGAAAGAATAAAGTCACTTGACCCAACAGATTAAGCTACAGCTAATAATAGCTATAAGTACAGCATACAATTCAGACGAAAACCAGGAGATTTGTATACGTAAAAGACTTTTCAGCCTTTGCTCTTTTCATGGTTTCAATCTTTAGCGTTTCTAAATGTTACTCAGCTCGTTATTCAGACAAGTTACATCTTCTCGCTTAATTGAAATTTATTAGGGAAACTAGTTGTTTTAGAATGATCACATTCATTTGGTTTCTGTTATCTTGAGTGAAGCTCACTAATCTTAGCAACAATTAATATAACCGAGAAGTCAAATCTGTGATTTCAGTTGTTGCTAGGGTACCCATCGCTTCAAACGTCAGAGCGTTATCAATTACCCTGAGTGTCAAACAAGACGAAACGCGAGTCCTGGACTCCTCTGCTAGTCACCGTTATCAATGTAACATCATGAATAAGCAGCATCCATATAGAAACCCGCCTACAAACAATGGTCGAGCTTTTCAGCCCGGTACAACAACGGGTAATTACAGTTATCATAACAGCGACTACACTCAATACATTTTGAACCAAGCTCCCTGAAATATTACGCAACATTGTCACTGCAGGATAAAATTCTTTACAAACTAAAAATTCATTTTGGATTTAATCTTAACCTGATGGCGATAACTTTCTTAAAAGAGATTTAATATGACGAGAGACGATGATTTTTCAAGCCAATCTAGCTTATCTGAGCTCAACTACAAATAATTTTCCTAATCCAATAGGAAAGTAACTTGACCACACAAAAACATTTCCTTCTAAACAGAGGAATCAACCAATCATTTTTCATTTCCAATTTCTTTCTTCCACCCAAAATAAATTAGGGTGGGAGAAGTGTGCCTGGCCAAAAAATGTCTACCGCCGTTGTTCTTGCTTGAATTGTATGAAATTAACATCATTATTGATTGTTATGTTATTATGTTGTTTGATATTTCTCACCTTTGATGATTCACAACGTCATTGTGCTTTTTATAGTAGAATTAAATTTCCCCACCTTCCTTGTTCAATTGGAAAAAGCCACCCTGACCGATTTACTAATTCACTCACCTACATCACAGTGTCCTTTGTTCCATATCACGATGTAATTGGATGGTCGTAAAGGTCACCTTCTGTACCGAAACTTGGATATTAACCTGAAAACTTGATGCCATATTCACACTTTGAAAGGATCCTCCTAGCAAGATCGAAACGTTGAGAAATACTATGAAATATTTGTTATTTGTTCCAATATATTGTTGGTCGAACCAATTAATTCAATGAAGAAAATTTTCTGTTGTCGTTATGTCATTTCCCCACGATCTTTCAAAATCTTATCTAAAGTCAACCAAAATAGCTCGAAATGAAGAGAAATTCGTCACTTATATATAGCATAGGTGTTGGGAATCCAACAGCTAAAGCCAGAGCTCTGAATACAGGTACGTCTGTTCTCTTATTTTGTTGTGGTCAATTTCTTTATTGCTTCAGTATTCATCCTCCTCTTACTGACTAATTATCATTACTCCTTATTTCCCTTTTGCAGTTTACACTCCCACATCTGCCATGAAAATTCTCACAATACTTTATTTAGATTATTGACGATAATAAGTATGATTATTATTTTTGGCCTGTTTATTTGTGATTTTTAAATACTGATTAGTTTATTCGTTTCTAACATTTTCTTCCTGACACCGAATACGAGTTTAAAATGCTATTGTAGAGCTTTGATATTTTGTTGTACGTCCATTTCAT